TTATATATATATATAAATATATATATATAATTTATTGACTAATAATTATCAACTTGTATGCAAAATAAAATAAATCACTAAAATACGATATATAATCATAATATCTTCAAAGCTGCGAAAGAACTTTTTAAGCGAGTTGAGTCGCAGCGAAGAGAGCAGTTCGCTTCCATACGTTCACCCCGGTTAGACAGAGGTTAATTAAAAGTCCGGAATACATTTCCGCTGCGGAACGCCCAGGTCGCATGAGAAATGCGTAGCGTTAAGTATTTACATTGAAAAATAACGTTTATGCATGATCATTTGTACATGTTACGAAGCTTCTAATTATTTCGAAAAATTCTTTTTTTTATGACGATCGTTTCGCAGAATAAACTAGCTTCATTGAATTTATATGAAAAATTAATAAAAATTAATAGTCTTACGGCCTCAATAAAGGAAAGGAGGAAAGATAACAGAAATATAAACAGTGTGATCTCTTGCAGAATAGTTTAATCAGGCAAATATCTTCTTCTGCCAAGTGCAAAGAAGTTGTGAGAATATTCACAACTTTACTGTTATGTGACAATATATATTCTTTCAATGGCCTTTCAGCTGAAAACGTCGCTTACATATATCGCACTCGAATCTTCTCGTCAGCTTGTGCGTTTTCAACATTGACTTCAACTTTCTCTTGAATTTCGCTGGGCAAAAATCGCGTGTCCACGGCAAATCTAGTATGGACAAGTACATGAGTCCGGAAACTGGGCTTCGGGAAGCTTTTGCCGCAGATCAGATATTCGTATTAATTATGTGTATTAGCTTATAAACACGCAGCGATTGATAGCGTTCCTTTTTTTTTTGCAAAAGTCACTTAACCGTTCTTCTTCTGCTAAAACATTCTTCAGTTTCGTGTTTCTTCAACATTTTTTGTCTGTAATAAAACCATGATATATAATTATTATTTATTTGGTTAAGTAAATAATTTTTTAAATAACATGCGAATTATGAAATATCCAAAAAGCAGCTCTTGATTTTTCAGAAAATCGAAATTTATTTTAAATTAAATTCTTTAGATTTTTACGTGTTACTTAATTGATTTTTCATATTATTTAAATTAGAGATAGATAGAATATTATAATTTTGCATGCAACAGAGTACTTCATTAAGTGTTCATTAATCTGAAAACAAAGCGCGCCAGTTTGTGTAACAAAGAGTTCGAAGAGATCTGATATTAAGGTCATCTACAAATAGTTATTAGCATTAACTACCTGAAATTCGAGCTCTCATTGTCTGCACGCGAGAGGCTTCGGGATAAAATGCGTATGCAAATGATTCTTTAAGATTGATGATCTTGATAAGAATGATAATTGCATTATTACCAAATACTACATAGCGACGAAGGCCATTTTAAGTAAAAAGACAAAAATTGAAGAGTACGTTTTGAATCGTATAATATCTATAAGTAATAGTTTTGAATCGTAATAATATCTATAATAGTATTTCGAATATACACTTATATAAAAAAGAACATATTACATATATATATTTTTTTCGAAAACTAGTAATTTCGATCGAAATTAATTCTAATTTATTTAAAATTAATAATATGCAAAATATTGATGCAATTGCTCCTCCATATTAATAATGCGAAGCTAAAATAAGATTTTCTTTCATTTGGATATCATTCGTATATTTGGAGATTTGATTAAAATAAAATCCGCATTGGAAAAATCTTCCATAGCTTTATCAAATCCTATGAGTCTTGAACACGCTCTCATTCGGAAATTTGATCCTGCAGACGTTGCACATTAAAAGCTTTTATTCTTGTTAGTGCGGCGTATTCCTTTAAATCGTACCTGTCCATTTGTCGCTGAGAAAGTGAAACGCTTGCATTTTTTTGACAACCGATTCTGGGATCTGTTCAGAATTTTCATGGAGCAGTATACTTTTTCCGATGGTTTGTTTTCATATTGTTCGATATCCAGCACGTTGTTGGACGAAAAATTTTCTCTTATCCATATCGCTCCAAAATATTGAACTTTACTTTAAACTTCAAAACAGAAAACGATAATATTACACACAAAATAATTTGTACGTAAAATTGTAATATAAGAATTTTCTTTACGCTGTTCTTTGATATTTCACTTTTCACATTATATTTTATATTAATGCATAAAGTAAAGTACCTTTATACTTTTGCAAGCTATATTTTTATATTCGTTTATGCGAATTTAAATACGACCATGCGAAAAATAATATAAGGGATGGATGAAAAGTTTTGCTAATAAATACCTAAATAATACTGTTGAAAAAAATTATTTACGCGCGTGATTTTGTTTTTCCGTTATTTATAAAGTCACCGAAGAGTTTTCATTTGTTTTCTTGGTGAATTAGTAACATCTGTGAAGATAATAAGGTCAAATACACATTTATATATAATTTTTGTAGATATTTCAATTTTATGTAATATCCCTGCTTTTAAAATATCCCTGATTTTCTAAAATAATGTTATTGAACTCCCAGCCTTGATAATTGCCTCTGCGAATATATAAATACGCCAAAATGTTCGCAAGATTGTTTCAGAAATGTCGACATGCGGAAAGGAAATACCGTGCAGCGAATTTATCACTTTATCATAATTAGGTTTCGGTACTAATTTATTCGTATTATTAATCCAATTACGTGCGATCGAATTATGAAATCAGTACATCATTAAGATGTCTAGTCCTTTTTTTCAGATGTAACCATGTTAAAACCTCACGCGGATTAATTACAAATCTTGTTAGAGGGTTTGGTATGATATTTTATTACTTAATGAATAATGAGTATAATTGCAACGAAGCGTAATTTATATTGCAATCAAAGTAAATATGTATAAGCAGAATGGAAGTAATCATGGGGGTATATCGTTGCTTTTGACTTAACGAATGGAAAGTGTTTTATATTCGTATATTACGCACTATCAAATCGTGAGATCATTGACGATATTGAAAATTATATGAAGTTATTTTAATATTTATATAAGCATGACACCTCCGACAGACCTCTAATTAAGAAGATATAGCGGGAAGATAAAACAGATATAGAATATTTGTAACAATATTTGTACATATATAACACATATAAAATTTGTAACGTATATTTTGTATTATATTTGTAAGATATAGATCTGAGAAATTGTAGAATATTTTTAATTGCATCCGTACCGAGAAATATACAAAGTCAAGCAGCATCAACTGTTCTGTTTTTTATTCACCGTAATTAGCGGCTATTGCTGACTGTTGTCCGTTTGCATAAAATATTGCAATTGAATGAAATTAGAGGAAACGAGTTGTGCGTATTCCGTTTACTCGAGAAACCGGAGGAGGAAGCATCGCGCTCCGAATAATTCTTATGCAAGCATAGGAAGTAGCTTATTTACGATCCCTCCGCCCATACTGCTTATATGCGCGTTTTTATCTGCCACAACTAAACAATTAGATTTTTAATGAAGCCCCGATTATAGAATATTTTTATACATAAATGATGTGTGCAGTTTTGATCATTTTTCAAATTAAATAATCGCCATCATGCACATGTAAACGTCATGATTAAGCTATTGTGAATTAACTTATAATCAATCTTAATTATAGTATATTTTCGTGGGAGAGATTATTTTAAAAAATGTCATTTTTAATTTTATAAAAGATAAAGAACATAAGAAATAATATAGAATATAGAATTATCAAGGATATCTCAACATTAAAATCACTAACCCGCTATTTTTTATCTTAATATAAAATCTAGAGTTTTAAGATTTTTTTATATTTTTTTTTAATTTGACAAGAGAGAGAAAAAGAGAGATCATATATTTTTTTCTTTTTATTAATTTAGAAGGATTTGTACGTAATATTATAAAAAAATTCAACTCTGTCAGCTTAATAATTTCAAAAGAGATAAAAAATTTAGCTTTTTGAGGACAAAGCTATTTGGTGGTTTTAGTGTCAAAAAATATCATTTTATCAAGAATATGATAAATCCTAAATAGAAGCTAGCTACATAAATGATACAGATACAGAATATCAAGAACAAAAATAGATTCGTGTAGACTATTCACTTTCGCCTCTGTTATTTTCCCTCTCGATCTCGTCATCGTTCTCGTTGTCGCAGTTGCGAGCAAGAAATTCAGTGGAAAATCCTCTCGAGCGGTCAGACGTGATCACGTGCTATAGACGCTGAGGAAGTATTATTAAACTCGGATGTGTGAATTCAACATTGCGAGATAGGCAATCGGGAACTGCCCCTACAAATTTGATGCATTATGATATGATATGATGAAATCACAACGTGACTTTTACGTAGGATATCTCAGAATTATTTCCACTAAGCTAAAACTTACAAGAAAAATAAAAGAAATATCATTTCTTTCAATGTTGAATTAATTGAATTAATTGAATGTTTAGCATTAATTGTACATAATGTATGTGAATGTATAAAAAATGGTCAGCGGATAAGCAGTGAGCAAAATGTAGCTGTTGAATCTACGACAGTTCGTTCTATCACATTTTTTTGTGGAATATGTCGTTTTCTTCCTCGATGTAAACGATCCTTGTCGTATCTTGCGAACAATCCATTCCGCTATAGACATTTCTCCTGCGCGCATTACAAATCGTTACATTACTAAAACGACCTGCTTTTCCGCGGCTTTCCCACGGCGGTTTCCTGCCGTTTAACTCTTCGACTTTGGCTTTGCATCTCCACCACAGCTTCCACATGCTTTGCCTGACGACGACATCGCGCACGCGTCGCAAAAAGCACCGATATTCCTCCCGAGGACGGTCCCCGTCGATCGTGCAAATAAATCCGCGACGGCACATGATGTGCGCTCGTTCACGAGCTGATGCATTATTTCATGGAACGGCAGTAAGACCTGTGCAACTGAACTCGCCATGACGGTGAAACGAAGAGAATGAGAGAGATGAACGGGGCGCATAAGCGGTGAGACCGCATGTGGGAAACTCGTCGGATGCATTATGTATTTATCGCTTTACTTACTTAGTTGGGAATTATTTTGCCATCGTAATGACTTTCAGCGTATAGCGCGCTATCTTAGGAATGCCATACTCCTGATTTATCGCCTGGACCCGTTTTTCTCGAATCATTTTGTCGCTAACGTGCTACCTGCTTCGGCAAGCATCCGCGATCATCGACCACGATCTTGACTCGCGTCACGGGTCCAATGACCTTCCTGAATCTTGAATTGCAGTAATAATCGGAGTGTAAGTTGATAGGAAACGTTTCTTCACAGAAGAATTGCCGACATGAAAAAAAAAAATTACTTCAATTTTTTAAATCTTTTACTTGAACGTGGTTATTCCCTATTAATAGAATTGCCTTGAATATTAATTTAAAAACGAGAATTCGCAGCTGTGTGTCGAAATTAATATTATTTTAAAAACGTTGATGCATATTTGATTAAACGAAATTAAAATAATATGGATTTCTGGTTATCATAATTAAATAATCTTGTATTTCAATCAAAAGCTTTGTTATTTTCATCAGAATTTATGCAACCATGAGTGTCTGATTATCATAATCAAAATATGTACAATTAATTTTGTCTAATTATTATATAAAAGTATTTCAGATTAATTCAATCAATTTTTTTCAGCATAAAATAAATAAATTATTTGGTTACAAATTTTATATGTATGTATATACACTGAAAAAAATTTTGGTCATTTTTAATTTAATGAATGATCAATGTTCGACTTAATGTCTGACTTAATATAGTTAATTCATTGATACAATTAGATACAATTGGATTCATTTATATAATTTATATCGCACATTCATTTTTGCAATGAATTCTAATAATAGTTTTATAACCTAAATTATTATGAGAATTTATTGGACCAATTTTCATTAATTCAATGAATATTTTATTATATTTACATACAGTTTTGGTTCAGCGTAGAGCTATATGTCATTCACATATTCATTACTTGTCAAAGTTCAATCACTTCACGATGGACACGTTTGTGTAAAAGAATGCGCATTGAGTTGCCATGTGGATAATATCGGGAAATTGAATACGCGGCATCTAGCATTAATGAACTAATTATGGCGAGGATATATCCAAGCAGTATCTGAGAGCGATGTCTTTAGCGAGACGCCGATATTATCGACATCAAAAAAATCGTATTTATTTTTTCATGCAATCATTTCGCTAATTGCCTCTCGCGCTATGTCCGCGTGAAGACGCAATAAATATTCGTGATTAATTAAGAATTCGAGATATGCGAGCGTTTCATAAAAGAGAGAGAGAAAGAAAAAAAATTGCTCTTATGCTTCTCTCTTCTAATTAGACACATCGGATAATCTTTCTTAATGTAAAAAAAAAGATTTTGTTACTGTAATATTGCATAACTGAAAAAGTACATGTGATACATATTTTTTTGTATATTATCTTTGTATATTATCTTTGTTTAAAAACAATTATAATCTATTTATTTAATTCATCAATTTTTCTGTTTTTACGAATTGCAATCTAAATAAATGATTGTAAATATGTATTACGTACACGATAAAAACAATTTAAAAAATGAAAGATTATATATTAATTCGATATATTCATATTGAAATAAATTTCTACTAGGTAAAATATTTTTTGCATAATAAGATGACTCAACAATACGTAAAAGTAATTAAAGGATATTATTTATTTAAGTAAAAAGGATACTTAATTAGTTTTGTACTTTGAAGTTCATATTTTGATAAACACTTTAATACAAGCGAAAATAAAACAAATTGACGGGGAGTATTAGCTAAATATTATTACAAAATGTAAACGTTAGATAATTTGCTTCATCGATTCTAATTGTC